GATAGCGTGTGAGCAGGGGAGGAGCAGAGAGAAAGGGAGACACAGAATCTGAAGCAGGCTCCAGGCTCTAAGCTGTCAGCACAGAGCCTGACGCAGGGCTTGAACTCACAAACTGTGAGATATGACATGAGCTGAAGTCGGACACTCAACCGACTGAGCCACCCAGGTGCCCCAACTTATTCCTTTCTGATTTAGGTGCTTTCTATTTCTTTGTCTTGCCTGGTTGCTCTCATCAAGACTTCCAGGACTACATTGAATAAGAATGGAGGGGGCGGGCATCCGTGTCTTGTTCCTGAGCTTAGAGGGAAAGCTCCCAGTTTCTCACCGTTGAGTATAACATTAGCTGTGGGTTTGTCATAACTGCTTTTTATTTTTTTTTAAATTTTTTAAATGTTTAGTTTTGAGAGAGAGAGTGAGTAGGGGAGGGTCAGAGAGAGAGGGAGACACAGAATCCGAAGCAGGCTCCAGGCTCTGAGCTGTCAGTACAGAGCCCAACATGGAGTTCAAACTCACAAACACTGAGATCATGACCTGAGCAAAATCAGACGCTTAACTGACTGAGCCACCCAAGCTCCCCTGTAACTGTCCTTTATCATCTTGAGATTTGTTCCTTCTGTATCCAGTGTGTTGACAATTTTTATCATGAAAGTGTATTGTGTTCTGTCAGATGCTTTTTCTGCATTTATTGTGATGATCATGTGATTTTGATCATTCTATTGATGTGATGTAAAACATGTACTGATTTGCACATGTTCAACTACCCTTGCATCCAGGGGTTAAATCCTTCATGGTCATGGTGTAACAAATCTTTTAATGTGTTTTTAAATCCAGTTTGCTAGTATTTTGTTGAGAATTTTTGTATCTATATCCATCGAGGATATTAGTCTGTAGTTTTATTTTTCAGGTCAGTTGCTTTATTATTCTGTAGTTTGGGATAAATAATTATGTTTCTGGATCTTTCTTGACTCTCTGTGTTGGTCTCTGTGCATTTGATAAAATAGCCACCCCTCCCTGTCCTGACAGAGTGGTCCAGAGAGGGGGATGAACCTCATCAGCCCAGCCTGAGCTCCTGGTTGTCTCTCACACCACTGCGACTGCCCAGGCAGCCTGTGTGTTCTCAGTGGCTCCCCGTATTCAGCGTGTGCCAAGATCTATCAATGTCCCAAAGAGAAGCATCTCAGTCAGCACTGAGGCTCATTGGAAGCCTGTGTAAAATAGTTCTCTTTAGGGACAGCTTGGGAGATGGGTGTTTTTGTCTGCGTCCTCGGCACTGAGCCAATTAAGATCTGTTTCTTTGTTTATTATAGTTCTATGGGACCCACAAATGCAAGAGCTGCTGGCCACCAAAGCCAGGTGCTCAGTGGTATATCCTCTGGGCCACAGCCACCAAGGCCGGGATGCCATATATGTGCACAAGTTCCCTCCAGGGAGAGGGCAGAGACCTTGAGTGTGCCAAAGGGAGAATGTGGAGATGGTACCTACTGGTTCCCCCTAAGTGTGCACTAAGCTAGAAGCCTGGTCCTCAGGCCACAGCCTCGTTCAGAGAGGCCTCTTTAAAGCAAAGCCTGGGCAGGAGACATTTCTATCTCCACCTTTGTGCTGTGTCCTGGGGGAACAGCCAGTCAGAAAGTATTTGTTTGCTATAGTCTAGCGGTCCTATGGATGCAGGCCCTCTTGGCTTTCAGAGCTAACTGTTCGGACTCCCATCGCTCAGGCAGAAGTCTTAAAAGTTGAGACACTAGGTGTTGGGTTCAAAACCTTTGCCATCAGGGAGAAGTTGGGAGTTGTGAGTTCTCTCTTGTGTATCTCTTGCATATCGCTGTGCCAGGGGTGGGGTTATGGTGAGAGTGTGTCTCAGCCTTCCATGTTTGGATGTGAGTACTTCTCGTTCGCCCAACATATAGGAGTCGCTCCGCTGGTTTCCGAATTTCTTTCATGGGGAACAGCCCCATGCGTGGCCGTAGGCTTGGTGTGGCCACAGGAGCAGGTGAGTTCAGATTCCTCCTCTCACCATTTGGATCTAGAACTCCCTTTCACTTATTCTTGACTCGTGGTGTCTTCCATTTTGGTATGTACTCAATTCCCATGATCCTCACGATTTTTTGTGTATTTTTTATACTTTCACTCATTTACCCAACAAATACTTATTTATAATACTATTTGTTTTGATTATTATCAAGTGGTAGGCGAGAAAAAAATAAAGTCTACATTTCAATCAGAACCTTACTCACTGATACTCTCCATTCCCCTCCAGCTCACAACCATGGCCTTCATGAGAAGTTGCTAATATGTTAACTCCTTGAACTCACACAAGTGTATTTGAAATGTATATATGTATATAAAATACTGACAGATACACTTAATACTTTAAAACTGAGTGTAGTAGTTAACTCCACTGATTTTAAGCCCTTCACTGAGGTTTTCTCCTCACTGAGTTATATTCTGTCTCCCATTTTAAAAATAGGTCTCCTGTTCATCTGTGCCCTAGTGTAAAAAAAAAAATTGGTAAAACTCTAGGGAACTTAGGGGAAATCAATAGCGCAAGAACATATTATATTACATGAACATTCATTTAAAATGTTACCTTGGGGAGTACCTGGGTGGCTGAGTTGATTAAGGGTCCAGCTCTTGATTTTGTCTCAGGTCGAATCTCATGGTTCATGTTTGAGCCCCACGTCCGGCTCTGCACTGACTGCACGCAGCCTGCTTGGGATTCTCTCTCTCCCTCGCTCTCTGCCCCTCCCCCATCCATGTGCACATGCTTTCTCTCTCGATCTCTCTCAGAAATAAATAAGCTTTTTAAAACACGTTACCTTGGGAACACAGCGTTGTCATATAATAGAAATTCCGTGTGTTTAAAGATGCTCAACATCACTGACTGTCAAGGAAGATACAACAAGATGCCATCATACACCTGTCAGGGTGGCTAAAATCAACAACACAAGAAACCACAGTGCTTGCAAGGATGGGGAGGAAGGGGAACCCTTGTGCACTGTTGGTGGGAATGCAACCACTGTGGAGAACAGTATGGAGGTTCCTCAAAGCATTAAAAAGAGAATTTCCATATTATGACCCAGTAATTCCACGACTGGGTATTTACCCAAAGAATACAGAAACACTAATTCGAAAAGAGGCATGCAACCCTGTGTTTATTGCAATGTTATTTACCAAAGCCAAGACATGGAAGCAACCTAAGTGTCCATCAGTAGACAAGTGGATAAAGAAGATGCGGCATATATACACAGTGGAATATTACTCAGCCATAAAAAAGAATGAAACTTGCCATTTGCGATAACATGGATGAAGCTAGAGAGTATAATGCTAAGCAGAATAAGTCAGAAAGAAAAACACGTATGATTTCGCTCATACTTGGAATTTAAAAAAAAAACAAACAAGCAAAGGGGAAAATAGAAAGAGAAACCAAGAAACGGACTCTTAACTACAGAGAACACAGTGCTGGTCACCAGAGGGCAGTGAGTGGGGGGGATGGGGGAAATAGGAGATGGGGGATAAGGACACTTGCTCATAAGGATGAGCACCGGGTGATGTAGGGAAGTGTTGAATCACTGTATTATACACCTGAAACTAATATAACCCTGTACATTAAACTGGAACTAAAGAAAATAAAAAATTTAAGTAAGTAAGTGATGGTACAAAGCAAAAAAAAAAAAAAAGATTTCATGTGTTTAATTGAATCCGTAAGTCGTTTGCTTGAATCTTTATATGACTCGCTCGGCCATGAGTAGCAAGAGTGTTTTCTCAGAAAAATCAAATCGGAGGGAATGAGCAAGCAAACACAACATTTTATATCAGAGTAGAAGCAACGGAGTAATGATTGTGGGTGAACCAGGAGTGAGTCGTAAATCATTAGTCACTCCAAAAGTAGCTCGTGTGTGTATGTGTTTAAAGATTAGGTATTTTCACCAGGATAACATGTTTAGGATAGGAGGAGAAATCACAAATTATGAACTGCGTTCAGTAGGCACAGTTTTGTGAACACAGTTTGTGAACCTGCCGTGTTCAAGTCCCCATGCTAAATACAGTCTTCCAAGATTTTGAGAAGACAAAAACATCTTTCAAAACTACAAATGACAACATAAAGATAATATAAGGATACTGAGGCCACAACCCCAGAGATAATAACAGGCAACGTATAATTACTTCTCAAATGGCAGTTATAAACTGTGGATTTGACAAGACTGAGGCTTTGTGACAGCTGCAAAGTGGTGAGAATTTTAAAGAATGCCTTGGATTTGCATCCCTTTAAGGAACAGTTTCAGGCATTAGGAAAGGACGGGAGCCACATCCCAGAAGGACACACGTTTAAGGAGTGTTTCAGAAATGTGGACAAAAGCAGTCTGGCTACAGTGTACTATTACGGGAAAGGACATGGCGTTGGGGACGAGGGGGTTGGGGTCAGACCGTGGAGGCTTTTATTGACAAGGCCAGAAATTTGAGCCATATCTGTAGGCAGTCACTTCTATAGAGACTCAGATGCTCCAATGCTTTTGAGCAAGGGCGCCAGCAAGATAAGTGGTAATTGAAGGAAATCATCTTATCGGCTGTTCGTGAAAATGTGTTTCCGGCTGACTGCCTGCGGATAGTCTAATGGCCACTTTGTCCGACCAGCCTTACTTCGAAAACTCATCGGTTCCTCCAGGCTGGTCAGTGTATCTAGAATGACGAAGTTCGGTCATTTTGTTAGAGAAGGAAACTGGATGTGACACAACATTTTCAGTGCAAAAAATAAATCAGAAAAGGATGAATCTTCAAGGGCCAAGCTCGTAAGAAAGCCTAGTGAGGAAGGTGGCATTTTACACAGTAACTTTAGTATCAAGAAATCCTGTACTTAGTTACTACATTTTTCTTGTCAACACAATCCTCTGTCCAGGGTGTGTAAATGGAGTGGTTACACACCATACGTGTACAAATGACAGTTAAACTCTTGAGGCAACATGAGAGTGACACTTGGTCTCAACGGTGAACGAACTGTCTTTCAGGTGGAAGAACACGTGCTGGCCTTGCAGGCAGCCTACAAAGACCTCGTGGCCGAAAAGCAGCTGCTAGCAAACAGAAGGAAACGGGCCACCAGGCGCCTGCAGTGTGCATCTGTCTTACTAACCAGCCTGGAAGGCGAGAAGGTGTGGCTCTCTCTGGCTTTATGTCCCGTCATTAATGGCTACTGGGCTTGGCGAACCCAAGATGTCACTTTCCCTGAAGGTCGTATCATGTACCTCCTCAAACTCTCTTCTCGTCCAGTCTTTTTTACTGAGATCAGCAGACACTCCTGATAAAAATAAAGGAGTCCTGGGGCACCTGGGTGGCTCAGTCGGTTGAGCATCCAACTTCTGCTCAGGTCATGATCTCACGGTTCGTGAGTTCGAACCCCGCGGCGGACTCTGTGCTGATGGCTCAGAGCCTGGAGCCTGGTTCGGATTCTGTGTCTCCCTCTCTCTCTGCCCCTCCCCAACTTGTGCTCTGTCTCTGTCTCTCAAAAAATGAATACATGTAAAAAAAAAAATTTCTTTTAAATAAACAAAGGAGTCCTGGTCAAGTAGCCTTAAGACAGAGGGAACAGACTGCACAGATCAGACCTTACTTTCTCTTGCTCCCAAGACGTCAGTTCCCTTGTCTGATGAGGGGCACAGAGTCCGTGAGTATGTCATGAGCTCCCCGGTCCAGCGCAGGGACCACCCCCGCCGAACGCATGAAACAAGGGTGGCTGAAAGGGAGGGGATGTCATCAGGAAGGGAGAGGAACACCTCTAGAGATCTTTTATCTTCTGTTTTACATTCCCCCGATCCTCCCTAAGCTTCAGCCTCCTCCTCCGAAAGTGAAGTCAGTGGCTTTTGCTTAACAGGGTATTAGAAGTGCCAAGTGAGATGTTCAAGGTAAAATGCCGGTTAGACATGTTAGGATTCGATAAATGCTGATCACTATTATTATTGAATATCATTAATAATACAATGAATTACTCTACTTATGTTAAAAGTTATCTTCATCACACAAAGGATTTGACGTGGCTATCAGCCCTAACACACATGACACTGTTGACAAATCCAAGGGTAGGACTCGTGTTATCCTCAGGAAACAGTTTGTGTTATAATGTCCTCCATTACTCCCTTCGATGCAAACACCGATGAAAAGGGTCATAGTGGTAGCAACGCTGGGTCCCAGTGGAGGACCATGAATACCTAAATGTCTCATGATAGCGTATTTGATGTCAAGTTTCAAGAGCTCACTTTTATGTTAACATTTAGACTCAATGGCCAGAAACAATCGATCAAATAGACAAGAAGTTGGAAAGAATCTGGGGTGACGTGCTTCTTTCAGCAGCGTGCATCGTCTACAGCGGGGCGTTGACAGCAGAATTTCGCCAGTTGATTGTGAACAAATGGGAGACTCTCTGCACCGAAAACAGCATCCCTTTGTCGCCCAACTTTTCTTTAATTGAAGTCATGGCCCCAAACCACGAGGTACTAACGTATTTCTATTATCAGTTAAGGGGCTGCTGTTGTTGATTTGAATTCGGGGCGTAAGTGCATTTTGTTTTGGCTTAGATCTTTTCCACAACTTGTTTTAACAAAGGAAAATACTGAATTTTGTTCCGGGTCTTTAAAAAAAAATTGTTTTTTAAATTATAGTTCTTTTTTTTTTTTTAACGTTTATTTATTTTTGAGACAGAGACAGAGCATGAATGGGGGAGGGTCAGAGAGAGGGAGACACAGAATCTGAAACAGGCTGCAGGCTCTGAGCCGTCAGCACAGAGCCCGACGCGGGGCACGAACTCACGGACCGCGAGATCGTGACCTGAGCTGAAGTCGGACGCTTAACCGACTGAGCCACCCAGGCGCCCCTTTTAAATTATAGTTCTAATGCCTCAGTTCCATCTCTTTCCCATCCTCTGGGCAAAAGTCACAGAATATCCTCTTACTCGTTGTAATCCTCCCAACCTACCCTAAGAAGTATAGCCAGTTTCTCTCCCAGAAACCCCTTTCGTTAATAAAATCGGTGAACTTACTGAACCACAGGTAGCGTTCTTAGAAAGAGCCAAAAATATAGACCTCACATTTATCCATGTATCAATAAATATTTGTTGTCGATCTATGTTGAAAGGATAAAAAAAAGAAATACCTCTTTTTTAATTCATCCCCAAAGAGTAATTTTAGATTGATTCCCCCAGTGATAACTCAACTTAAACTGACTATCCAATCTATAAAAAGTCTCAGAAGCAGATACTGGCTTCTCATTTTCATAATAGTAGTAACCAACTTAAGCCCAAACATATCCGTAATTACATTAGATGTAAACAGTCTTAAAGGTCCGTATGTGTGCCAGGACAAACAGTGACACCAAAGGAGAACAGAGAGCCCAAAACAGGCCCATACACACACAGACAAAGCTGATATTACAGTGCAGGGAGGAATGGGTAGTCTTTTCAGTAAATAGGGCTGAGTAATTGAATATCTGGAAGGAAGGAAGGAAGGAAGGAAGGAAGGAAGGAAGGAAGGAAGGAAGGAAGGAGAGAGAGAAAGAAAGAAAAAGAAAGAAAGAAAGAAAGAAAGAAAGAAAGAAAGAAAGAAAGAAAGAGAAAGAAAGAGAAAGGAAAGAAAGAGAGAAAGGAAAGAAAGAGAGAAAGGAAAGAGAGAGAGAGAGAGAGAGAGAAAGAAAGGAAGAAAGAAAGAGAAAGAAAGAAAGAAAGAAAGAAATTTGACCATGACCTCACACCAAACATAAAAAGTCAACTGCAGTTGAACTGTGGACCCAACTGTGGAAGACACAGGAATAAAGCATAATTTAGGAGAGTATGTTCATGACCCAGGTTAAGAAAAGATTTTTCAAGCAGAACTAACCATAAAGGAAAACATTAATCGAATTACATTAAAATTTACATCTTCTGTTCATCCAAAGACACCACTGAGAGGGTGTAAAGAGAAGTCAAAGAACAGGAGAGGATATTTGTAACACCTGAGTTCAACAAAGGGCCGAAGCGTCCTAGCCGTGGTACAGTAACCACCAATCAATGAGCAAGAGACGTTCAACCCAGTAAATAAATGGGCGAGAGCCTTGAACAGGTCGCTCACAAGAGACTATGCAAATAGCCAATAAATATTTGAAAGGGGCTTACCATCACTATTCATTGGGGGAATGAGAGTTAACTCTAGAGATATCACAACACATCAGCCAAAGGACTAAAATCTGAAAGACTAACAATATTAAGAGTCAGCACGGATCTGGAGTAACAAATTCTCATATACCACTGGTGAGAATACCAAATGCTAAAATCATCTTAGAAAGCTGACTTTAGCTACAAGTATTAAAAATCCACATACCCTAAGACCCAACATTACTAGGTGTTTCCCCAAAGAAATGCATATATAAGTTGATCAAAAGAATATAAAAGAACGTTCACTGTGGCGTTGTTTTAGCCGAAAACTTGAGACACAATCCAAGTGCCCTCCCCAATAGGACGGATAAATAAATAAGCCTGGGTATGTTCATACAGTGGATACAGTTGGAGCACTACACCCACGAAGCCAGACAGAAAAGAGGATATATTTTAACTTTCCCTGATCGAAAGTTCCAAAATTAGCAAAATGAAACTATAGGAGTACCTACTTCAGTAAGACAATAAGGAAAAGCATGAAAGTCGGGGGCATGATTAATTTTTTAAAATACAAACTCTGGGAGCGCCTGGGTGGCTCCGTCGGTTAAGCATCCAACCTCGGCTCATGTCATGATCTCACAGTTTGGCAGTTCAGGCCCCACGTCAGGCTCTCTGCTGACAGCACGGAGCCTGCTTCGGATCCTCTATCCCTGTCCCTCTGCACCTTCCCCATTCACGCCCTCTCTCTCAAAAGTGAATACACATTTAAAAAAAAAATCCAGAAGCAATTACGGAATATGAAGTTTTCTTAAAAAAAATAATGATAATATAAAGTAGAACCTCGAATCAGCAGCTTATATCTCTGTCCACGCTGACCTCTGCTCCACGCCTCTATTTGGGCGCAGTCTGTGCCCCGATCCCTGTGGTTTTCAGGGTTCTTCGTCCCCTCATGTTTCCTTGTATGTAGACGTCAAGAGCACACGGTTCTTCACAGGCCTAAACAAAATGTTCTCCTTTCTTTCAAAACTGAAACGTATCCTTGGCTCCTCGCGGGGATGCCCTGGCGCCTCTCCCTGGAATGTCTCCGCTGTGCTTCCCTTCCCCGACCTCCATGGGCCTTCTGGGCTTTTTTCTCCCAACCTGCTGAGACGGCCAGGAAATCCGGACGAAGGTTATCCACTGGAGTCCACTTCGGAGTCAAAGCCTCGGTCTGCCTCTTACTCTGACAGCACGACCGCGGGCGAAGCCCAGTTCCTCCTCCTGAGAAGTGAGGGTTGCAGCAGTGTAACCAGGCGATGACGTGTGTCCTTGGCGGCGGGTGTGCGGTGGCGGCCGCCGCGCCTCCATCTGTACGATTCTGTGGCGCCGCGCGCGCCACAGACACGTCGGAGCCCAGCGTCCTTGGGAGCAGGCGCCCGTCCTATTTCGTATCGATCTCCCGTCGCATCTTTGTTGTGAGGGCCGCTCCTCCGTCCTGATGAACAGAAAGGGGTAATTTAGCGAATAGTTACCCGGAATTCGTATCCCAGTGTTTTAAATGATTCATGTCCTCACTCCTTTTAAACATCATTTGCTTTTTCTAAAGCAGTGGCCTGCTTTAGAAAGGTGCCTCAGTGGAGGGTGCCTCAGTGTCCCGTAGGGACGGCACGAGCAGGCGTGTGGAGCAGCGGAAGCACTAACGCTCTCGTTCCAGATCCGCCGGTGGCATTCTCAGGGGCTCCCGCCCAGTCAGTATTCAACGGAGAACGCCATCTTGACCAGGAACAGCCTGCAGTGGCCACTGCTGATTGACCCACATAAGCAGGCTCACAACTGGATCCGGCAGACGGAAGGGTCCAGGCTGCAGGAGCTCTCCATGGAGGACGGCAGCCACATCCAAACTATTGAAAATGCTGTGAAGACAGGAGGGAGTGTCCTCTTGCAGGTATTTGGACGGAATGGCCTAGCTCCCTAATTCGTGCAGCTGCAGTATAGACCGTATGCACCGAGCGTAGACTCCCCTAATTCCCTGCAGCTGCAGTATAGACCGTATGCACCGAGCATAGACTCCCCTAATTCGTGCAGCTGCAGTAGAGACCATGCACCGAGCA